GCCAGAATCGAATCTTCTCCTCTCTAGTTCCACTCTATCTGCATCATGTCGATTCCTGCAAAAATAACATCAACAAAACACCCAAATAGAGCACGTATACACCAAGGAAAAATCCTCCAAACCAATCAATCATCCATTCCACACAAACATCAACATATCTTGACAATCCATCCACCCATGGTCACGCACTCACCTTGATTTTCGATTGGAAACTAGACAAGGACAGCGACAACCACGAAATCAAACCCCTCACTACCTAAGAACCTTCTGATTTCTTCCTTCTTCTCTCGAAATCACCAAAACTCAATCCCTTCCTTTGCTCCAACAGTCTTAAACGAGCCTCCAAGAACAATCTCAACCACAAATCTCCTCTTAACTCTCACACACACGAAAATCACCTATCAACTTCTGATTTCCGTGCAAAGAAGAGGCTGCTCGTGTTTTTATAGCGAGCCCTAGGGTTTTCCAAACCCAAAAATCATTAACCAAACAATTTAAAATCGAACCGGTCGAACCGACAAATTGTTAGTGTCGATCGACACCAAGGAGCGTTACACAAAGAATCAAGAGCACTGTAAATTGACACTCTCAGGAAAAAACCGGTTTTGTTTGGAGCGAATCAAATATATTTCAATTTGTTGTATATTGGATCGTTTGGGACGAAAATAAAATTGGCAATACACCTGGCCAATCAAAATCTGCCACATGGCACATCTTTTAAAATTAAAGAATTAGTTTTAAAAAAATCAACACCGCGATCAAATACTTTTCACAAAATGATTATCTTCTCACCAGTTACTTCACAAATAAAAATTGAAAAATCAGTTTTCACGCATCTTTTAATCCACGATCTCCATCTCTCCCTTATCTTTTGGGAAACGTTTTTCTTTTATGAACTATAAAATCTCAAAAACACACAACAATCTAAAGAACAAACAAAAATTTAAATGAAAAGAAAACATAAACTATGGATTTCCAAATCCATTAGAATTTTGTTTTCACCATCGAATTCTCATGAACGCTCGAGTAAAAAAGGAGGGATTTTGCTTCTATCCAAATTGGGTGAGTTTTGTATGCTCGAGCTTTTCTCATGTTGTGATCAGTTTCCTCAAGCGGCACGAGGATGATGATTAGATTTGATGCGGCGCAAGTGGTGTTGGATCTCAACAAATACTAGAGGAAACTGGCGTTGAAGCTACCATTAACAGAGAAAGTGGAAAAAAGACTATCGAGTGTGCATGTGAATGTAGTAAGTTCAACGATTTGCACTCCTAATAAAGTTCAGTTGAACCTATGAACTTAATGATGCTTCTATTAATGTGTTCATGAGGATATCTATTGTTTTTCCTTACTAAGTTATAGACTTATATTTTTGTATTTCACCATATTATTTCATTCTCTGTTAGAGACATGCTTCTACATAATAAAAGAGTTGCAGATCGTTATGTGGGTATGAGAGAAGATGTTCTACCTTTATTGTTTGATGTGTTGTGGCTTCAAAGAGACGTGTTGGAATATCGAGATGAAAGACAAAGAGAATTAAATTGACGACTTGAAGAAGACACCGAGAGTTTCTACAACCGTTAAGAAGA